GGAAGGAAGGGTGGGAGGAAGGAAAGGAGGGAGGCAGGAAAGAAGGAAGGGAGGAAGGGAGGGAGGGAGGAAGAGAGGGAGCGGGGAGGAAGAGAGGGAGCGGGGAGGAAGAGAGGGAGGGTGGAAGAAGGAAGGAAGGAATGTGGTTACTTTGGTGGGACTGAGCCATGGTGATCTTCCACTTGGCGAGTATTTCTTACCTACTGTACTAGTCAGAGTTCTCCAGAGAAACAGATACTAGGATGTGTAAAGTCTACTTGGGTTTATAAGACCAGCCTTTGGTTGAAGACCTTCCCTAGGTCCTAGCAGACAGAAACCAGGAGAGACAGAGACATCTGTATCTGGCTACATAGAGAGGTTATCTAACTCTCTGTCTGTTCTCTGTCTACCTCTGTCTGTCTGTCTGTCTATCTATCTATCTATCTGTCTGTCTACCTACCTATCTAATCTCCCTACCTACCTACCTATCTAATCTACCTACCTACCTACCTACCTAGAAATCGAGAGATTTACTTTGAGGATTGGCTCACATGATTGTGAGGACTAGCAAGTCCAAAATCTGCAGGCTGTAGATTTAGGGAGAGCCAATGTTACAGTTTGAGTCTGAAGGCAGTCTGGAGGCAGAATTTCTTCCTTGAGAGAGACCCAGTTTTTTTCTCATGAGGCCTTCAGCTGATTAAATGGGGGTGTATGTACCCATGGTATACAGGTTAATCTACTTTATTCAGTGTCTACTGATTTAAATGTTAATCTCATTTAGAAAATCTCTTCATACATACATCTAAACTAGTGTTAGAGCAAATATCTGGGTACTGTGGCTCATTCAGGCTGACCCATAAAGTTAACCATCACACCTGTGCAAGCGCCTTTCCCTCCTGGGTGGTGTCCTAGGGATGACAGAGGAGGGGAAAGCCAGGTCTCTGCTTCAAGGACACAAAATTGTGCATGCAAAAAAATTAAGAATGCTGCTCTGTCTGGAGTAGCCATTCTTTTATTCCTTTACTTTCTTAACAAACTTGCTTTCACTTAAGAAATTAAGAACAAGACCATTTATATTTAAATGCCAACTTATAAAAATGAAATGTAAAAAGGTATTTAGAGGTGACAAGGTAAGTGAGGGCTGGAGGATTCGGAGAGATTTCATGGTGTAGGGACTGAATAGAAGCTTCCAGAACACGGAGGTTTCAGATAGGTGAGGACACAGAAGTCTTCACAACCAGATTGGGCACTACAGGACAATTCTACATCTATCTAGGACTCTGAGTTTTTGAAGGGTTTCCATATGCATTGTTTGGTTTGCTGCTTGCAACAACTCTGTTATTTTAATTGAAGGTCTTCAAGCCCAGAGAAGTTAAGGGATTCCCCAGAGGCCACACAACTTGCCAGTGGCAGGGGAAGGTCTTCCTCTTCCACAGCCTTCTCTCTCTTTCTCCCTTTGTGGGACATAATGAAATCTACATGCACACATTCATGTAGATTTCATTATGTCCATGTAGAATTCATTTTAATTTCAAACGTTTCCTTCCCAGAGAAATCTTGTGAAACTATGAACATTGTTTTCTCCCTGTCTCCTTCTCCAGGTCTTATTTTCCTTCTTTACCATCCTGATTAACTCTATTTTTTGTTTGTTTTCTCTTCTTGCCCACTCCCAGACACGAATGCAGAGTTTGAGTCCAGATCCCAAAGCCCGGTACACAAGTATCTATGGAGCCCTCCAGAAAATCATGCGGACTGAAGGCTTCTGGAGGCCCTTGCGGGGCGTCAACGTCATGGTCATGGGTGCAGGGCCGGCCCACGCCATGTATTTTGCCTGCTATGAAAACATGAAAAGGACTTTAAATGACGTTTTCCACCACCAAGGAAACAGCCACCTAGCCAACGGTATTTTGAAAGCGTTTGTCTGGAGTTAGAAAGTTCTCTTCTTCAACACGTCCCTCCCCAGGGTGTTCCTCCCTGTGACCCAGCCGCCTCGACTTCGGCCCGCTTGCTCATGAATAAAGAACTCAGAGTTGTGTGTGCAACGCACACCCAGACACACGCACACACACGCGTGCGCGCACACACATGCTTTTTTCTGTTCCCCTCCGCTTTCTGAAGCCTGGGGAGAAATCAGTGACAGAGGGGGTTTTGGTTTTATTGTTATGTGGGTTTTCTTTTTTTGTTATTGTTTTGTTTTGTTTTGTTTTTAAACATTCAAAAGCAATTAATGATCAGACATAGGAGAAACCCTGAATAGAAACAAAACTTTTGAATGCTGGATTCAAAAAAAAAAAAAAAGTTATCTGGACAGCTTCTTTGAGACTATTTAAAAACTGGTACAACAGGTCTCTACAACGCCAAGATCTAACTAAGCTTTAAAAGGTCAAGAAGTTTTATGGCTGACAAAGGACTCGCAACGCAGAAGGCCTTTCCCACCTTAAGCTTCCGGGGATTTGCGAATTTTACCCCCATTCTCTTCTGTTTGTCTGAGTCTCGTCTCTCTGCAAGCAAGGGCTGAAATCGTTTTGTTTGGTTGTTTGGAGGGAGAGAGGCGGGGTGGGGGGTGCAAATCTGTCAGCAGCTCTTACATAAGGCATGTTTTATTGGGGAGGGCTGAGCTTTTATTTTCCTCTCTCTGGTGGGGTTGGGTTTTGTTGTTTTCTGTTTGGGTTTGGAATGGAAATATGGATAGCAGCATGAAGTACCTTTATTTTGACAAAATTCATTTTTTTCAACAATGGAGACATAGATATGGCCAGCAATAACTTCTCCCCCTCTCTTTTTACTCTGCTCAAAAAGCATCTCTCCTCCCATTAGCCAACCTTGGTCATAAGCGTGCCTGGCTGGTTTGCAGATACTTGTTTTGCTTTGTAAAAATTGGCCATTAGTGCATTTATTGAGACGGTCACTAAAGAGCCATGCCCTGACCTACCCCTGATTCTATGACATTGGGGCCCTTTTGCTGAAACTGCCTTCTGTAAGGGTTTCTCTCCTTGAAAGAGATTTGACGGAATCCATTTGATGCCAAGTGCTGCCCTGCACTGTTTCTGCAACGTGTGGTGTATGCTGTGGTGATCTGGCTAGGAATGATTATAAGTGTGTGTGTGGTAGGGGAGTGGGTATTACATGCATTGCTGAAGAGTCATCCTGGTGTTCCTCATTCCTCCCACCTTCCCGTGGTCATTTTAATTACGGGGCAGTGTCACCGCAAAGGGAGGAAACTCAAAGCCAAAAGCAAAATTCCAGGCCTGATTCTGGCTTTTGAGGTTCCTGGTTCTTGAAGCCAGGCCTGACCTGACTCTCAGATAGGGTCAGTCCCATTGCTTTGCAGACCGACCCTGGAAGTCTACCAAATGCAGATTCTCCTGATTTCCTCTCCTCTTGCCCAGTTTTCTTCTTCTTCTTTTTTTTTTAAAAGCCTGGATTTTAACCAGATTTGCTTTTTTCCCCCTTCTCAGCTGTATATATGATATTATCTCCTTTCAGGGCCCCAGCTTAAGGGTAAAGTGAGTTAATGTGTAGACAAAGGCAAGGGACAAGAGAGAGTTAACATCTAGACAGTGGAAAAAGCCGTGATGTGTGGTTTCTGGGAACCACTAACACTTGCAGGTTTCGCTTTTTCCCAGGGTTGACTACAAGAAAGAAAACGAGGTTTTTGCAAGATTAAAATGTGGGTGAATGTGCCTAAATTAGCCACCCCCATTTTTATCATATTTCCACCATCACTTTAGGGTTTTAAGAGTCAATGCTCACCTGGGTGGAGCTGGTAGTACATTTTGCTTCTTAGAAAGCTAAGTCCTGGGTTCCGTCTGATTTTAGGTTCCGGGAACTTCTGAGAACACCCGATCGCAGAGGGTAATTTTCTGGAGTTTGTTTTGCAGGGATAGCTGGGAGTATGGCCACCCTGCTCCACGATGCGGTAATGAATCCAGCAGAAGGTAATGTCATGGTCCCAGGGAGGGGCAGTAGGGGATGCGCAAAGGGGCACAAAAAATGGTGGGGGAGTGGAGAGGACTGAAGGTGGGCAGGGAGGCTCCTAGTCTCCAGTCAGAGCAGACAGGAGAATTAAATTTTTTACTGCGTTATCAAAGGCCTCAAGAAGGGACACGAACATTTGAGATTTATGGTATTCCTGTGCTCAGAGCTACGCAAAGTGTGTTCTACAGACCAGTAGCATCAGACCTCTTGAGGGTGTTGGAAATGCTAATTCTGAGGCTGGGTGCAGTGGCTCATGCCTGTAATCCCGGCACTTTGGGAGGTCAAGGTGGGCAGATCACTTGAGGTCAGGAGTTCAAGACCAGCCTGGCCAACATGGAGAAACCCCATCTCTACTAAAAATACAAAAATTAGCCAAGTGTGGTGTGTGCACCTGTAATCTCAGCTACTGGGGTGGCCGAGGCAGGAGAATCGCTTGAACCCAGCAGGCAGAGGTTGCAGTGCACCGAGAGCACGCCACTGTACTCCAGCCTGGGTGACAGAGCCAGACTCCATCTCAAAAGGGAAAAAAAAAAAAAAAAAAAAAGGGAAAGAAATGCTAATTTTGGCTGGCATGGTGGTTTAAAACTGTAATTCCAGCACTTTGAGAGGCCAAGGCAGGCAGATCTCTTGAACCCAGGAGTTCAAGACCAGCGTGGGCAGCATAATGAGACCCTGTCTCTACGAAAAATACAAAAATTAGGTGTGGTGGTGCGTGCCTGTAGTCCAGCTGTTTGGGAGGCTGAGGCGGAAGAATTGCTTGAGTCTGGGAGGTTGAGGCTGCAGTGAGTCCATGATTGCACCACTGCACTCAGCCAGGATGACAGCAAGACTGTGCCTCAAAACAAAAAGAAAACAAATGCAAATTCTCAGGCTCTACATAGCGCCTACTGGATCAGAATCCCTGGAGCTAGGTACCAGAATCTGTTTCCTGGTGACTCTGTTGCATGCTTTTACACTATTCTAAAATCTATGTGTGCATACACACACACACACACTCTCTTAGCCCTTTTTAACACTTACTGATCCTAGACAAATGTATGGGGAACCCATCAGAGGCTATTAGGGCTAGTGTTCAATTTGACTGTTTTTAATATGAAAGATTATGGATTACATTTCAAACAGATGCGAACATGGAGAGAATAGGATGATGAACCCCAATGTGTCCATCACCGTGCTTCAGAAATTAACATTGGGTCATTTTGTTTTAGCCATCTCTTTCCACATTATCTTCTTTTTGTTCTTTTATATTTCGGGGGTATTATGAAGCGAGCCTCAGCTGGGCAGACCAGAGTCTGTTCCCTTTTTATATATCCTGCTGTCTCAGCCAGCTTGGGTCTGAATAGTGACTATGTTTTGGGCCTGGCACCGGGCAGACCTTCCGCTGGGTCATTCTCTACCTGGTGATGGCTTTGGCTGAGCTGTGGAGCTCTTTTCACCTTTTTGCCTCATCTGAAAATAGTTTCTGGCCAGAAGGGAGAATTGGAGAGAAAAGTTTCAACATTTTAAGTCTTATGCTATAAGTTTGCCTATCTTTTGTCTTTTAAGGTGAAGCTATTAAATTTGCTCTCAGCTACCCTCCATGTCCTAGCAGATAGAGGACTTGGTCTGACCTTCAGAGTTGTGATGGGGCAGGTTGGGAGGTGGGCGGGGAGTCTCCGTGGTCTGGGTACTGAGGTTGAGCCAATGGGCAGGTGAAGAAAATCACCTTCTCCATTCCCATTGATTTCTTTATCGTGTGCTGCACGAGGCATGCTGGAGGGACACACACCTTTTCCCCTTTTTATTTACAAAGTAGACAGCTGAGAAAGACAGCTCGTGTTCTGTTTTGTTCTATACACATTATCTTTCTCAAGAGATGGGATGCCCTTAAGTAAACTGACCTGCCTTCATGGCTTGTCCTGTAATGAATGTGTTCAAGACAGAGTGTTTTCGGGGCAGGACAGAGGCATTCTTAGGTAAGCGGCGGTGGGGGGAGGAGACCCTTCCAGGAAGTAGTTCAATGAAAAACCTAAAAATGCCCAAATCAATATTCGCTTACATATTGTATATCTTGGGCTGCTTTTTAGGGCAGTTCATTCAGGGACCCGGTCAGTAAACAGGTAGTTAACTTAGTGTAACCAAGCAAGGGTTTTGTTTATCTTTTTTAAAGGAGAAAAAAGTGAGGTTCAAACTGTCTCTTTCTCCTTGTCATAACTATTGATTTACAGTCTTTATTTCTTTTTAAAAGTAAAGAAAAGCACATTGTGTGTATTTATTTGGCAATACATGAGGCCATTAAAACCCTGAGCCTAAGGTACCACAGTTAGTCTCATTTGCCTCTTGTCCTGTGAACTCCAGTTAGAATGTCATTGAACTTGGGCAGACATAATTCTAGTGTCTGTTTCAAACGCACTGTGTCACGGAAGCTAGAATTACCGTTAGAGGCACAAACCCCTGTGAATACACGAGGGGACACGCTTCCAGTAGATGTGTTGGGGAAGGAGGAGGGCAGGGGGGTAGGGGACAGGGTTCAGCTTTGTGGTGGGTCCTGAGGGTTCCTACCAGGGGCAGCCAGGATCTGGGAAATAGATCAGCGACTCTAGTCTGAAGTGACTGCCTGGTTTGAGGGCTGTCTTCAGCAAGATTCAGGCAGGAGAAACTTAAGGAAATAGCCATCTTCCAGGCATGAGTCCTGGAAATAGAAATGGATTGTAACCCAGGACTGCCAGGGGCTGGCCCTCCGCGGCTGCTCAGACTAGGGCTGTGTGTGCTGGCTCTCGCCTGTTTCCGGTGTCTAACTGGCTTGTTTCTCTTTATGGCTTGGCTTCATTCCGACCTGGGGTGGGGCCACCTCCAACCCACTGCCCACTGGCTGTCCGTCTGGCCTGCCCCGCGGTTCCAACCACAGTGGTGAAGCAGCGCTTGCAGATGTACAACTCGCAGCACCGGTCAGCTCTCAGCTGCATCCGGACGGTGTGGAGGACCGAGGGGTTGGGGGCCTTCTACCGGAGCTACACCACGCAGCTGACCATGAACATCCCCTTCCAGTCCATCCACTTCATCACCTACGAGTTCCTGCAGGAGCAGGTCAACCCCCACCGGACCTACAACCCGCAGTCCCACATCATCTCAGGCGGGCTGGCCGGGGCCCTCGCCGCGGCCGCCACGACCCCCCTGGACGTCTGTAAGACCCTTCTCAACACTCAGGAGAACGTGGCCCTCTCACTGGCCAACATCAGCGGCCGGCTGTCGGGCATGGCCAATGCCTTCCGGACGGTGTACCAGCTCAACGGCCTGGCCGGCTACTTCAAAGGCATCCAGGCGCGTGTGGTCTACCAGATGCCCTCCACCGCCATTTCTTGGTCTGTCTATGAGTTCTTCAAGTACTTCCTCACCAAGCGCCAGCTGGAAAATCGAGCTCCATACTAAAGGAACAGGCTGTGGGAAGGGATCATAGAATCTTTTCTTCTTAAAGTCATTCTCTGCCTGCATCCAGCCCCTTGCCCTCTCTTCACAGCTAGATCATTTTTTTTTTTTTTTCCCGCAGGGTGCTGCCTATGGGCCCTCTGCTCCCCAATGCCTTACAGAGAGGAGGGGACGGGACAGCCGCTCACCGGAAGGCTGTCTGCAGGGACATCCGAGGCGGTGGTGGACAGGAAAGACTTTGGAAGGGGAGCGAGAAATTGCTTTTTCTCTTCCTCCCCGGGCAGAATGTAGCTTTTCTGCTTCACTGTGGCAGCCTCCTCCCTGGATCCTTAGATCCCAGAGGAGGGAAGAAAAGTTGCAGTGACTGAAAACAGTAAACAAAAAAAATTTTTTATGTACATAAAAGTTCCATTACACAGTACAAAATAGATGGATAATGTTTATCCTTTATTTTTCTATGTAGAAGTTTTTGAATTTGTGTGTGTGCTTGTGCGTGTCTACACCTAGTATTGCAGCTGGGACTCTCCAGCTGTTTTTGTTGTTCTTGTTTTGTTTTTAAATGAGAGGGTTGGATTCTTCCATCAGGTGAACGAAAAAGGCACCAAAGTAATAAATCACTGAATGTGACCTGCAGCTGTGTTTAGCCCCGCCAGATGGAAGTTTCACTTGAATGTAAAATAATAAAGTTTCTATTTTGAATTTCTCTTTTCATGGGGGAAAAAAAGGTACGTTAAAAAAAATCAAAATAATGATATGTCACTTGCAGCTACCTTTTTTTTTTTTCTTTTAAATTCAATCAGCCACCTTCATGTGCCTTTTTCCTTTGTCTTTCCCCAAAATTCCAGGACCAGAGATCTGGCCCTGGCCCATTTTCTCTTGCTGTGTATACACCTGCATACATGCCGGGTGGCAGGATCTCGCCTGCTGGAGGATGGTGGAGCCCAGCAGAATTAGGGTGACTGGACATAAACCTGCTGAGACTGCTTCCTCCCCTTGTGAGTGATGTGAATGCCTGCCTTCCCGGGCCAGCACTTAGAAGCCCTTGATAGGCAGCATTTGGCGGCTTGTGGCGCAGGTGTTTGGGGTAAATCCTGCCTTCATCCTAGGACTTATTTCTGCATCAGCCTTTTAACTCAGTCACTTCAGGTAACGTGATCTGTGTGTGTTTTGACTGAATCTCATCTCCTGTGTTTCCCTGTACAGTCTAGGGAAACATGTCTCCGGTCTTTGTCTGTCCCCCTGTCTTGTCCCAACCATTAATTCCAATGTCACAGCTTCTCATCGCATGTGACAAGAGCCAGGCCTATCTGCTAGGCCCCTGTGGCTGAGGTCTCACCTGGACCCTCATGCCCGAGTCAGAAGACCTCTCTCCAGAAGCCATTCTGCATCCTCGTCCGCTCTGTGTCACCCGAGAACACAGGCCTCGCAGCCTCGCTTTCTGAAATGGTGTGTGCCGAGTCAGATTGCCGCCCAGAGAAAATACAAGCCCGTTTTCCTTAGCTGTGCCATTTGTTGCCCTGCCAGGCTGCCGTGCAAGGGGATACTGATGAGACGAGCTGCACTGTCTCCGATTTGGAGCCCGCACCAGAGCTTGTCTTTGAAAATGAGCAGGAAGCTCATGTGTGTTTGCATTTCAGTGAGCCGGGTCCTGACCTGCCGCCACCCACCACGGTCAGTGTGGTGCATCTCACTGAGGAGGTGCAGGCCTGGATTCTTTTGAGTGGTGCTGCTGCCTAGGAAGTAACTGCCTAGGAAGTAACGTGGAGAATTTCCATCTTGGGACCATGCACACAGTGCCTTGGGGAGTAGATTTTGCCCTAATAGCGATGAGGAATTTTATCAGTCAGTTGACTGACTTTTTCAGATCAGGGATAGGAAAGAGCCAAACTGGGTACCTCCCAGGTGTGCCCCATCAACACTCCCTTGCAACTGGGTTGTGGGGCTTGGCTGTTGTCCGGGCCCATTTGGGGGTTAACACCGCCTCTCTGCTCTGCCCCCTATACCCCAAAACCAGTTGCAGCCTCAGTCCACATGAGGATGCAGAAAACCGTAGAGTCCACAATGCTTCTGAAAATGTTTACATCTGCGCTTTCAACCTGCCTTGGGTTCGTGTTAAATCGTGTTAAATTCTGCAAATGGAAGGGAAAAAATCAAATTCTAAATTTCAAAGTGGAATTTAAAGCAAATTGTAAAAAGTTTATCCTACCACCTCTTTTGGTCCACTTAAGATATGCCACACTGAAGCAGGGTATTTCCTACTGGATTTTGGTTTCACTGGTGTTCAGAAAAGAAACTTGATTTGTCTAGGAGCACTCCTTTGGTTAGGGGGAGGCAAGAAGGAGAGGTGAAGGCCAGGTGCAGTGGCTCACGCCTATAATCCCAGCACTTTGGGGAGGCCGAGGCAGGTGGATCACTTGAGGCCAGCAGTTTGAGACCAGCCTGGCCAACATGGTGAAACCTCATCTCTACTAAAAATACAAAAATACAAAAAATTAGCTGGGCATGGTGGCAGGCATCTGTAATCCCAGTTACTTGGGAGACTGAGGCAGGAGAATTGCTTGAACCCAGGAGCTGGAGGTTGCAGTGAGCTGAGATTGTGCCACTGCACTTCAGCCTGGGCGACAGAGTGAGACTCTGTCTCAAAAAAATAAATGAATAAATTAAAAAAAAAATAGAAGAAAAGGCGAAAACCGGAACCTGGAGCTCTGTGGGCCCCGGTTGCAGGCCCCTCCCTGTGTGATGAGGGATGGGTCAGCTGGGGGAACCACATGGCCAGCCTGCATGCCTGGTCATCAGGAGGTTGAGGAAAGCCTTGAAAGTTGTGAAGCACTAAGCAGATACAAGTGTTCATTAATTTTGTAGAAATGAACTTTCCTCTCTGGTCTTTATCTCCAAAGTCGGTATTGTTGCCCCGTGCAGACTGCAGTTTGGTTTTTGATTGTGACTTTGACATTGCAAAGTGCGAAATAGTAAGTGGTCTCCCCACCCCGCCATCCCACCCTGGTGACCAGCTCAGTATAATCATGGCACGTACTCAGTCATTGGTGTCTTTGGAGTGACCTCTGCAGCCAGTCAGTGTCACCTGGGTACAGCACCCGTACTTTTATGTGGTGTGTGTGTGAGTAGCTCTTCTGCCCAAATCATGATTTGAGGTTCAACTACCTGTAGATTAAAGCTTTATACAATAAACTGATTTTTTCCAGATGGGTGAAATCTTTCCCCTTGATATGTTTTCTTAACTTTGCATTGAATCTATTTACTGGGTTACATTCTATGTGTAGTTTGTTTTTTTCAGTTTTTTTCTTTTAAAATGCTCATGTCTTATTCTAAGCATCTTCCTCCAAAGTCCCCATGAAGCTGCATCTCCAACACATTGTTATGCCAGTAAGGTTTTATTTAACTTTATTTAAGGATGATTGTGTCTTCGAATGACAAATGTACTGCTGCTTGCTCCCTGCAAGACGCACAATGTATGTTTTTAAGGGTGAGCAAGTGTTATTTCTTAAATTTCTCAAATGCCTGTAGTGACTATTGTTTCTGCCTCTCAATTGTTGCCAGCTCTTTGAAGAAGGGGAGAATTGTGTGTTTTTGTGTGGGGATGTTTCTGATATGCTGCTACAGTTGCAACACTGGAGCTAGAGAAAATAAAGTACTGATCTTCGAAGTGTTGTGGGCTCTGTGGTGGGAATCCTGAAATGAGAGGGGAGTGGATGGCAAGAGGGGATGTCCTTCACGGGGTCTATGCCTGTTCCTCTTGAGCACTAAGGACCAAGGTCTGCAGCTTTGGTAGGAACTGCCCCTGCAACCCCATTTCCTCAGGGCAAGCAGATTGATGGTGGTGTTTGCGTTGTCTTGCTGGGCAGGAGCGGGAGCCCTCCCACTGGCGTGGCTCACCATGCTGGGGAGGGTGGCAATTTTCTTTCTCATTGTGAGAGCCTGGATGTGGCAGGCTGCAAGTGGTTCTTTGGAACATGCTGTGCTCATGCCTATTTTCTCTGTCTTAAACCTCAGCTTAAGCCAGAGAACGTGACCTCTTTTGGAGGTGGGAGGAGGGAAGGTTTGGACCCCCTTGAGAAGCCAGGGATGACTCTGACTCTTCCCACAATTTTGAAAGTCTGAGCACCCACCTTCAGTATGACCACTGGAGCCCTTGGCCTGCCAGGATGCAGGGTCAGAATTGAGGTCAGGTCTGAGAACTGGCCAATGCAGGGGTGCCCAGAGGTGGGAAGCGGTGATGGTTAGTGGATGGTGAGCCCTGGGATAAACTCCCTGTTTTGTAATTTACCTGTGGCCAATGCTGTGCTACTCCAACTTGTGGTTGCTTCCCGTCCTCTGGGGTGGGCGGCACAGATGATCTGCTTCCAGTAGATACGGATTCATTCAACAGATATCCTCCCTTTCCCTCACCACAGAATCAATCAGCCAACAAATTGGCTGTGCCTCCCGTGAGCAAAGCCTCATGCAAGTGCTGGGGACAGAGTGAAGTGTAAGATGTGGTCCCTGTCCTCGAAGGCCTTACAGCCTAGTAGAAGAGTACAAGGGGAGATGCAAACTCCTTAAGACAATCAGATCTTGACCTACCAAGATGGTAGCAAAGTCAGCCATGGAAGCAAAACAGTAGCTTTGTGCCCATTAGACCAAGCTCCATGAGACAGTGGCCTTGTCTGTCTTACTTGCTTCTTTATCCCCAGCCAGTGGTGTGCTGGTGCTGGCACTGCACCAGCTCTCTAGGTTGTACAGCGCACATTCCTTCCCAGCTTCACATTCCATATTACCACATTGGTAGCTTGAAATCGGCAACAGTGGGAATATTTACACCACAGAAACTGTCAAGCGCTACTTATCAAGGCCTTTGCTTTTCTAAGGGCTAGTTTACCAGCATACCACTGCTGGTACATAGCACAGTGCTTGGTATGTGCTAGGTGTCTGGTGAAGATTTGCTGAGAGGAAGATAAGAAAAGTAGAACCCAGCATCAACCTGGGGGGCCCTTCTGTGGTGCCCCTCTTAGTTTGCCACCTGCCTCCTCATGGGGGCATCTTTCTATCTTTCTATCACTCAGGAGCCCTCTCCAGCATGACCACATTCAAATTCCAGCCCTAAAAAGACCATGAAAGGAAGGTATACCCTTTCCTCTGGGGACAAGGTCTCCTTACTGAGTCCCATGTTTTCTAGTTTTCAGCTACCTCTTCCAGGAGAGACCTCTGCTCCTATCCAAGGAGGGGCCTTAGTGTGACAAACATCTCAGAGAAGAAGTAAGGAGCCTAGTCTTGTACAAGAGAGACACATAGCCAACTGGGCAGATGTGGAGGTGGGTTATGATTGCTTGCAAGGGAACAAAGCATTGCGTCTGGTCTAAGTCTGAACGCAGTGAGTGGCCTAAGAGAAATAAGAGCAATTAGGGAGAAAAGAGCTTGGTTTGCATCCATAAGGGCTTTGTAGGAGACACCCTCATGGTAAGTAAGCTGCACATAAGAGCTTTGACTGCCATTGTAAGAAGTTTGACCTTTAAGCAGTAGGTAATGGGGAGTCACCAAGAGTCTTTGAGCAAGGGACACCATGATTGGAGCTTGGTTCTAGGGAAACTCATCTGGCTAAAGTGTACAGGACTGAGTTAAGAACAAATATGGAGGGCACCAGGAGATGGTCAGTTCTGTGTCACAGTGAAATTGTCCAGAAGAGGGATGACTAAGAGAAAGGT